GAAATATGCATCTCTTAAAGCAAAATAAGTTTCAACTGGCAGTCACTCTGCTTTCTAATTTTTAAGGTTTTTCAGATATCAGGCCTCAAATTTTAATCTATTTTGGAACTCCTGCCACTAAAACCTGGATTAGAAACCTAATTTTAGGAAAGCCTCTTTCATTTCAGAGAAGAGCTTTTTTAAAGAGAAAGTCTTTTTTCTTAAAAGATGAAAGACAGCAGGCAATGGAACTAAGGTAGTTTGAATTTTTAAGTCAGTTTTTCTTTAAGTTAATGTGACTGAAGAGTTCTGCTGAAGAAGGAGCATTAAATCAGAAGTTTAGGAAACATGCTCATTTTGAACCGAAATGATGTGTTGATGTCCACATCAGGAAGTTGTATTAAAGATACACATGAAAGACAGTACATCATGTGGCTCTAAAGACTACCAAGGACCTTTTATCATAAGTATATAACAATTACTTTGGCAATGTAGACACTAACAACATCAACCTCCTTGTTTTGATTCTCCTCCTGTGATTACTACAGAGTAGGTCCTAAAATAAATTGGACACAGCAAAAACATTTATCTTGTACATCAGGAAAAATCTAATAAATAATTTACTCGTATCTTAAGTAACAGTCTAATCATCAGATGTGGAGATGCAGATGCTGAACAACTTGTTGACTAAGGGAAAAGAAACAGGGCTTTCGTGCCATAAGCAGATGTGCTCAATAGACTGGATCATAAGTGCTGATTTAGAAACAGCTGTTAATGCTACCATCATCTTTAATATAGTTCATTTCCCTCCACTTCCTTTGTTTTCTGTACATACATATGCTTGCTCTATACAGTCAAGTTGTGCTAGTCAGAGGGTGGAGAAGAGGGTTATTTTAATAAATAGTAAGCAGTCAGGACCTGATTCCGGCAGGTGATGAGCACTCTCAGATCCTGTTGGAGCTAACAGACTTGAAAAATAGCATATAAAGGTTCATAAATCCTATAGTGTTAATTTTGCCACAGTAGATCTTTAAACTACTTTAAAAGGATATAATTTTTTGCAAAAGTTGTAAATGGCACCAGCTAGTTATTTTACTGGAAAAAAGTTCAAGAGTTTTTCAAGTTCACTTCAGTAAGGGTTTCTCTTCACTCTCTACTTTTATTTTAATATTTCTTTGTTTTTCTTTTACTCAGTTGCTCTCCTTTCTGTGTATCTTGATCTTCCTATTCTATTCTATTCTATTCTGTTCTATTCTATCTATTCTATTCTATTCTGTTCTGTTCTGTTCTGTTCTATTCTATTCTATTCTATTCTATTCTATTCTCTCTCCTCTTTCTTTGTCCTCTTTCCTTTTTGTTTCTCAGGGTGTTTTGTTCTGATTCATGTTTTGTGCAACACCTGTAAATTTTAAATGAGTTCTGTGTTTAAAAAGCATGGTTTTCCATGAATCCAGATAAATCGGTGCTCTGAAGTATTTAACACAAAGTTTGATTCACTTCCTATTACTAAAATATAGACGGATCACATATCAGTAACAACTATACCCTCCATAAGTGACTCTTCAGCTCCAAAGGAAGTTCATAATTCCAATATCTAAATTTGATCTCTAGAGGAAATAACAAGTTAAGTACCTATCTCATATTATTAGCACATAAGCATTAAAGTCTTCATCTAGAGTCTATTGAGCTGTATGGAAAAACTCAAATTGACATTTGTGCACTTTGGATCAGGTCAAACTGGACTTTAGTACTTTATAATGGAGGACATAAAGAAATATATATGAAAAATATCTAATGTATTCCCTCATAGAAGAGTCCTGCTGTACATTAATGCAGCAAATTATATCAAAATAAACTCAAAATATTTTCAATAATAAACGTCACTATATCTCTAGCTTTTGAAAATAATCTTTGATGTATCAAATAAAGACATTTCTTTTTTTATATCCTCTAAGTAAACATAATGCAGTTTATTTACAGTCATTAACAAAAAAAGCCTTTTTAAACTATTTTTTTCTTTTTAACACTGTTACCATTTTCTCTTTATGGGAAGGCTATATACCAGTCAGTAGTACATTTTATTCAGTGGGATTGTCAGTGTTCCTGCCTTTCTTCTACACTCAAGAGAATGCATGCAAAGGTACCTGGAGTCCTTTTAGCCTGATTCTTCTCAAATGCCATGTTTCCCAGACCGTGAGTCGTGTGCAAACATAGCATTCCATTCTGGATACTCTGAGGAATATATAAATGGATCTTGCACTTATGCTTGAAAAGGGAAGTCATCATCCTTTAATTCATTTATATCAACTAATATGCAGACACTGACCTCAACTCATCCCTGGTGGAGGCACTTCGAGGCACAATCCTATGAACTAATCTGAGGGCAGGTGATCTGAGTGAAGAAGTACTCCCCAGCCTGGCCTTGGCTACTTATTACATGGAAGCTGGTGTCAAGCAGTTCTCTTTGGTTTAAGGCTCAAGGAGACAGACTCCTCTCAACTCTGCTATTGTGAAGTAACTAGAATTATAAAAAGAAGCAAAATATATTGTAATAAAAAATGGAAAACAACAACAAAACTTATTTATTAAACTGGAGTAGAAAACTGTCAAAAAATGTCAGCTCAGCAGATGTGAGAGTTTAGCTTTGTCTATGAGAGAAAAATAATGAGCACCTGCATCAGAAACCAGGCAGTAATTATCCTGCTCACCCCTATTCCGTCCAGGATAGTTTCTGACAATGGTTATAGGAGTACTAATTTCAATTTCTCAAGTATCCAAAAATAAACTGGTTGCATCTGGAAGGCTGTTTGCTTGGATGTCTCCTGATCCAGTAAGTTAAAGTAGGTTGCATCCAGGCTGTGAACTGAAATTTTAGCTTCAAATGTATCGTAATCTATACGTTATTATTTTGTTTTAGGATTTCAGGGCTGTCAATTATTCTGTGAATGTTCAAGGACATAAAAATATCCAGAGAATTTCTCACATCTTTTAACAATTTCTCCAAGCCTGTAGTTTCTTACAAAATAAAATTCTTTTGGCCCTTATTTCAGAAGAAATGTGATAATATCCCATGGTACTGGGTTGAATCCAAAATGTCTGGGTTTTTTTTGATGTTTAGGTTATGCCTGAAGTTGCATCTACTGCACTATCTTGCACCAGTAGAGTAGTACCTTTGCAAGGGAAACTTCACTGTTAAAAAAAAACAAAACGCAACCAAAAAACTAAAGAAAATAAAATCATAACTTCTCCCAGAAGGCTGCCCTTTTGAAGACACTGTTTTCATGGACACTTCTGACAGCAATCCTGAGTGTGATAATTTCCAACATCACAGCAGCCAGTAATATTTACACTCATTTTATTTTACAAGGCAGATTCTTTGGCTCTGATGAGTTGACTAGGGGAAAAGATGTGCTGTGTTTTAAGGCTCTTAACTAACCTGGAATCATTTCGCTCTGTTCCCAAGTGATTTGCTTTAACAGCTCACTTTGATTTTAGCAGGAATATAGAGTATTAAAAAAATAAATATACCTTTCTTCCTTCCCACGTAAGTACACAAAGATAGTGACATAATCTATCAGTTCAGTTGTAGTAAAATTTTAATGGAAAATTCAAAGTGATAGTAAAGGTTAAACACTGTGATGTTTCCTGGATGTGTAAGACAGATTCAGCAAAACAGCATTTTTGTGGCTCTATTACTCATGTTGTACAATATGTCCTGCTGTGCCTGTTCCTTGCTGTTTCTTTTAGAACTCTGAAACACATTTTGCTTAACGCAGCAGAGGATATACCAACATTGCAAGCTTTCTTGCTTTCTTTCCAAGTGAAATGTTGCAGACATTGTTTATTTTTCTGTGGAACCTTCATCTGAAGAGCTGCACGGACACACGCACAAGATTTTTCAGCAACATTAACTCTAAATGAATCAAACCGAATAATATTCTATTCATACTGTTTTTGGTGACAATACTTTAAGTTGATCTGAAATCAGTCTTTAATCCAGTCTAATATACTTAACAGATGCTATGCACATCTTTTGTTTCTTTACTTTTCTTTTGGCTATTGAAAAAAAAACCCTTGTGGTTTGCAGTGCAAATAATTTAGGTTTACTTCTCCCTCATATATTTCCATACAGAGAAGGGGAGGAGGGGAAATGAGTTTCAGCTGGAGTAAAATCTTGGGGTTTAATGTGACTTAAACACAGATACATTTTTAATCTTCCATGCTATGAATTTCTTTTCCATTCTTATCTGAAATTATTAGCTAATTTTGATTCAAATTTATAAATGTCGTGCCCTCTGACTCTGAAGATTTTTGTTTTCTGAAAAATTTGACCAGGGTCTACGGCTATATGTCTCAGAATCAAGGATGAGTTGACTAGAATGATTTAAACACATCTGTGAAATAGACAGGGAAGTGTTAAGTTTGAATGCTAAGAATATTCTTTCAGATACTTCAACAAGTTTAAAAAAAAAAAAGTGCTTTTAAACTGCTGCACCTGAAACTCACCACCAATTTACAGAAACAAAACAGAAAGCAACGCCAGCTTTTCAGTGCAAGTTCCTTTCCAAAGTAACTACCCTCCTATGAAGGGTACTCTGTTACTTGAAATGCACATTCTTTTGCACAGTCCCTTGATAGGAAACATTTTGCCTTTCTTTCTCTCCCTGAGAAATGGCATTAATATGTTTTTCAAGAGTTACGTGAACTTTTTAATGTTTTCTAAAGGGCTCTGAGATCTTCCTATGGAGCTGTCTGCAGCAGATAGCCTAGCTATCTTCCTACAGTAACCCCTTTTCCTTCTTTGCCATCATTATAGTCACATCCGCAGTGTTCATGTCCTATCCAACACTGGACTGCCTGATCTTCAAGGAAGGCTTGCTAAGTTTTTTACCATACAGCCAGAAAGGCACATTAAAAAAATAAGAAAAAATCCCCAAGTGCTGCGCTACAGGTAGAAAGTTCATTATTACCTTCAATGACCCCATCTTTCTTTTTTCTTGTTGTGTCCTTTTTCTGTGAAGGTAAAAGTTTGGTTCCAGAACAGACGGATGAAGTGGAAGCGGGTAAAAGGGGGCCAGCAAGGGGCAGCGGCCCGGGAGAAGGAACTGGTGAATGTGAAAAAGGGCACACTGCTCCCCTCCGAGCTCTCTGGCATCGGCGCAGCTGGTCTCCAGCACACAGGGGACTCACTAGCGAACGACGACAGCCACGACAGCGACCACAGCTCTGAGCACGCACACTTATGATACACAGAGAGTGCCCCAGCTCCGTTCTCAGGAAAGATGCTTTGCTGGCAAGCCTTACACAGGCATCGTTTACTTATGCAAGTGACTCTGGCAATGATTTTTAAAGTTGTTATGGAAAATTCAGGCTTATTGTGTCTGCTTTTCTCGATTTTTAGATGGTTTACAGTAAGTGCCATGTCTTAAAGGTGCCTCAAGAGTGGAGAAGTGGAAGACAAACTTACTTTGAACATTCCAGATTTGTTTGTCGTGTTTATGACAGCGGGCAGGTATTTTTGCTTTAGCTTGCACTGAAAATTACATTGCTCTCGACAGATGTTATATTCTGAAAACCACAGTGCCACAAAATCACTATCTAGTGGATAAGAAATGTATTTTAACTCTGTATATATTTACCTTACAGCATTTTCCTGTCTTCACTAATTTTTAGCAATGCATTCATATTAGCTGATGGCAATAGTCACTCATGACAATAAATGGCTTTTTGTCTCTTTATCTTTGTTTTGTTTTTCCAAAGACATACAATACATGCAGATACTTTTGTTCAAGTAAAGAACAATCCAATAGTGTCTGCTAGGACACATCCTTGTATGACAGACAAAACAAACCTTATGTTGCATTTACTATCAACTGCTGCTAATAGGGTATTATTAAACTTACCTAGCTCTTCAATTCTTCCTATCTTATAACTGCAAAAAGTGATTTTTAGGATCATAAGGATAGTCCAGTAACCTGCCAAAAATGTCATGTTCCACTCATGCTCAGTGGAAACTTTCCAAAGGATTATTAATTTCTACTTTTTCATGATTGAGTACGTTGATAAATACTGACATTTTGTAGAAATTTTGTTACTTCATATTCAGTTTAAAAAACAGCAGATAAACTGAAAGTTATTATCAACTGCTTATGTTGGTAGAAATCAAAATATGAAGGTAACTATATTGTGTCCCATGTGTAAAATCAAGACATATTTTCTGTTAAAAGCTTTTGTGTACATACAGGCAAATACCAAACCCCAAAATTTAATGCAAAACATTGATTGTACTTTGTAAAGAAATATGTTTAATAAATAATCATTTTTAAATAATTCTTGTCTTTCTACAGTGATTTCATAGGATTCTAAAAGTGATTTTTGCTTAAGCAGCTCTGTCTTTTTTGGGTTTTTCAGAACTTTGTCTGTCTTGGGGTGACAGAAAGCTGTTTTCAAATTTAGACTTTTAATCTTGGGTAAACCTTTTACCTTGATCCACTTGTGAAACTTTTTCCTTTAGCAAGAAGAATTTAACTGGCAGCTAATGATGTCTTCAGCCAAAACCAACAAGAATCTGTTCAACCCTTTTTCCAGATTTAGAGCAAATGTGAAGGGCTATTTTGTTGAAGCTTGTTGAAATGGATGAAAGGGAATAAATATCAGGAAGGGATGCATGCTTATATTATCATGCCTTTGTTCAGTAAAGCTGTTCAGGAGAAAAAATAAGTCAGGTTAATTGAACTGGGTAGTGCGATAGAAGGAGACGAGTGAAAGAAAGAAGGAGAAAAAATGTGCATATCCTAGTAAATACTTGTAAGCATTCACTGAAGCTCTGCTATGTGGAGCAGTAAGACATCATAAAAGTTAAATGTAATCAAGAACTCTGTGTCTATTTTCCAAATCCTTTCCAACGTAAGTTTGATCTTTCTTGCACATTAACTGTTTTCATGACCATTTTAGTTTAACATATCCAAGCAATGGGTACTTAATTTCTTAAAAGACTTCAGAGCATTGTCTGATTAACTGATTCCAGCAGTTAAAGGGCTTTGCATCTTTTTCTCAGTTCTTTTTCAAATGCCTTTGTCATATAAAAGTGCTGAGAATGGGAATAGAATAGAGAAGTAAGCCAAACACTTGTGAATACTTGATATTTTTGATTTCATGTCTGGCTACGAAAGGTTTTTTGGGTGTTATTAGGGATTATCAAAACAATAAAAAATACAGTCGTTCAGACTAAAGCTTATTCTTGGCTGTTTTTCCTCCCTCTTAAATGAAATATAACTACATTTCAAAATGAACAATTAGAATGGAAATTTGAAAATAATTATCTTTTTAACCACAGAGATTTAGTCAAATATGATGTGACTTGTTTTTCTAGTAATGAGGAAAGAGAAGATTATTGTCTTTCAAGTACTCTGCCAAAAATCCCTTTTCAGGTTTACAGAATTGTTTATTGCTATCATTCTATAAAAAATTTAGGACTGAATCTGAAAATCAACCAAGTTTGAGCTGACATTTTACAAAACAAATGGAAGTGCTTTATTTACATTACCTGAAATGCACCAGCAATGTGTTTCTAGCCCAAGACATACTGGGAGGTGTATTATTCTGTTAGCAGAAGTGGAATTGGACTGGGATACTTGCAGTGGAGAAGCAGCCAGTATATGTGATGATGGCAATTTGTGAGCCATAATAATCTAATTACCAGAAAGATCTTTTTTCTATTGTGAAAGATAGTATTTTCCATTTTCCTAGTTTTAACTAAATCTGCTGAGACTTCAAGCACCAGGTTGAAGAGAGAGAAACGTGCAAATGGATTTACAGTGCTAGATTTTTTGTTTAGATAATTGAATGAACCTTCAAAGAACCAAATGATGCAACTTTATATTACAGAAAAAAAAAAGATGGCTAACAAAACTGAACATCCCCCATGTTTTAAAAGCAGCTCAGACTTTGAAATTGGATGTAAGTTGCTAACTCTATAATAACTTTTCAGATTACTTAAAGACCTTTGGTGGACTTAAACTGTGGGTACACCATTGGTGTGTGCAAGATAGTGCAGAGAACTCAAAGTGGCAGCAGTTGAAGCTATGAAGTCTAGGCACAGTGAACTTCCTACCGTGGCCTTGAAGGAACGTCCTTGCAAGCACAGCCCCACAGAAATAAAGACATGCTTCTTCCAGATTTCAGTTAGCTTCTATTCAAGCCACATACAGCAGCAACGAATGCCCCACACTTTAACACCACTTTGTGGGTTAGCAGGTCTGCTCAGGACTCATAAATGCAGATGATGTCTCATCTTGTTCTTTATACCGCAATTACCCAAAAACTGTCTTATGGAAGCTCCTGGGATCAATCACATGCGGTAAGATATTATGGCTTTGTATGAAAGTTTTAGCACAGTTCTGTTGCTGAAAACAGGTATGGATAAAGGCTTTTGAACTACAACTTGGGGTTTTGTTTTATCTTCTTTGGTTTATATCTATCTGCAGACTAAGTCTCCTACCAGTCAAAACATATGGTATAGCTAAGACTATATCATTTAACAGATGGACAAAATCAAGTCCTAAAATTGTGATTTGCCCAAACTTGTGCAGGCACTTGCTGGTTAGAGTGAAATGTGATGAAACCTAGTCAAGTTTATTTCTCTTTATTAATTCCTGTTATGAAATAGTGGCTAATCACATTTCATGGCTTGTCAATGAATCCTGCTTCTGATGGGTAATAACGTATCTTTTGAGCCACCATAATTTTGATATTGTATCTGTCCAGAGTCAACCACTCTTTGATGTTCTGTTGTTGGTGCATCGCTGAGACAGACACATAAATGTACTCAGGAAATCTCACAGAAAATATAATTGATTGTAAAAAGAGTGATGTTTAAGAGTTTAATTTTCAGCATGATGGATAATAAGAATTCTTTTTTCTGCTGTTTTGGGTACAAGGTCATAGATTATTTCAGGGTTTCTTTCTCTTTCTTTATGACTGTTGGGTTTTTATGTTTTTGTTTACTATGGCTTCAGATATTGTTTTCAGATTTATTTTGACAATTGCAGTTCAAGAGGTACGGTTAAAATAATACCATTGCAAGCTGACTGAATTTATTAAACCACACACTGGAAGTAGTTTGGGAATTTAATTAAGTGCTTATCTTTTCTTGACTTTTCATTGGATCCAAAAGTAGTCATAAAAAAGGAGCACAAGAAGAGACTCTATACCTATATCTTTCCACCACAGGCCAAATTTCAAGGTAGTTTATGTATCTCACTTTCTTAAGTGAAGGCTCTGACTGCTGCAATAATATTATTTGTACAAATAAAGAAAAAAGCACTATTAGGACATGCACTCTTAGTAGCCATGAGGAAACATAGTTACATAAGTAAGGGACAAAATGTCAGCTTGAGCCTTCGTTTAGAATTTCCTGGCTTCAGTCAGTTGATGTCTCTTGGGTGAGCTTGTATTTAATAGAGTACATGCAGTATTGAAGATCAGCTACAAGATTCAAGAAATTTTAGAGAGTAATGTTTAACCAATTATGTACCGTAATTCAATACCATTATGTAACGTGTGTGGATTGAAAGGGAAAATTCTGTCCACAACCTGATGTCTATATTCATTTAAAAAAGGCAATATAGCAGATAACTGCCAGTAACTGGCACAGGGCTTCAGTGGTGATGGACACAGTTACCTCAGATTCATAACGACTCCATGGAGCTCATTTGCTTTTATATATTTCTTTCCACTTTAATTTTAAGCCCATAGTCTTCTGGCATCATTTACAGCTGAAAGCTGCAGTGTAGGAATCAATTTCAATGTAATTTAAGGCCCCTGGCTGTTAGTCAGGGCCTCCATATGGCATAATAAGAGGTTATCACAGTCATTTGTACAAACTGAAAGTATATTAGCAGTTTCTCAGGCCTTTATTACTTCTGTCCAAGTCATGCATGAAGATGTGCTAGCCACTGTCCCTTTTCTGGCACCTGAACTGTAATGACTCCTATCTGCAGAGTTTGGTGAAAGTTTACTTTTATTCAGTTGAAGACTATCACCTGGACAGTAGACTTGGTTAGGTTCCCCAAACAGAGAAGACCCCAAAAGTGTTGTAGATGAAGAGTTTGTTAAATAGTAGCTGTAGTAGGAAATAATCAGAGTTCCCTTTTCTTGCCAGTGCTTTTCTGTAGACAAACTCCAAAGATTTTAAAAGAAAGGAAAGTTTTGAAACAGGGCACTAAATAAATTTGTACTTGCCACCTTGTATCATAGGCCCAGTAAGCCTTTTGGTATTAGGTTCAGGTTCACCACTAAATGTGCTGAGACTAGCTGGTTCTGCTCTTTTTTTTATATCAGTCATCCCTTGAATGTCTTATATGACAACTTCTTCCAACCCTCATGACCCTGACTCCTTCCCCTAATAGGATTCACAAAAAAGAACAAATATGTGATTCTTCAAAGAAGACTTGAAAAATATAATTTTTAGAATTTTTCCTAAATAAGTTTTAAGAATGTGATCTAGGACATTAAATAATAATTAAAATGCCCCTAGTTCTGTTCAGAGGACTACTTGACTGGAACAAAGTGTATTGGCACATTCCTGTTCTTTCCATAAATGATTTTGTATTTTTGTTTGTAATTTGTGAACCAAAAAGTTTAGAAATTTTTACGTATTACGTTTTTATCTATTAAAGTTATATACTTGAACTTAAATATTCAATTCTGATGTCAAACAAAATAGTGTTACTAGTTCACAGAATGACTTCTCTCTCTCCAGAGAGACACAAAATTGGGACTAAGTACTTTTCAGCTAATTTTGAAAATTTAGCATCCATTACAAGAAAACTTCTAAAATGTTATTTTTCATTTGTGACAAACAAGTTTGAGATTCACTAATCTTTTAAGTAAACATCATAATAATTGATTTCTGCAGGAACTTTCTTGTCTTATAACCACACAGTAATATGAGATTTGTATTACAAAAGCATGCTCCAAAACCATACGAAGCAATGAATGTGGCAAATATCTATATAAGTGGTTTAGTATTTAGGGACAGATTCTCATCCTTAGTGTCCCCATGAACACATAGACACTGTATATGTAACTTATGTTTGCTTATGGACTTCAGGGTTTTTAGAAATATGCCTATTCTGAATGCTTACCACATTATTTGCTATGAAAGTCACATGCACAGCTGAGAAAATATTGAAATGGACATTTGCCCAAATTAAAAATGTACCTTGAAAAGTGTGCTTAGAAAAATTGTATGAAATTACCACAGAAATGCATTTTTGAAGAGTAAAAACTACCAGAGGAGAAAAAAAGCCCCAAAATTTGG